AGACAAATCACCACATGACATAGTTAGTAATTTTTAATATTGATAATGAAACGAAATTCAAGTACTAAAATTAACCTATTGGATTATATAAATATAGGAAAAGAAAACAGGTTATCCACTATGAGATTTGCGAAATGGTTTCATGTCTTGCTTCTTAATTAATATCTAATGATTATCTATAAATTTTATCTAGAAGGTTTATAATTTAAAATTATTTATACATAATTCAAATAATCCAAATCACAATCCGACATGATTTGTGTCCGCGCATCGTGTGGGTACTAATACTAGTATTCAATTAAAAAGTGCTCATTAGTTGATCACAGATTTTTTTTAGTCAAACAATAAAATTTTATTCAACCAAGTATAATATGTACATCCACTAGTTCTTTTTTTACTCTAGAACTAGTCTTGAACTTTGCACTAATTACAATTACTCCTCCCCTCTATATATCTACTACACCGCTAGTCTATACTAGACTTGGGTATGAGTTTAATCTATCAAGTAATCTTTTTCAATTGTTTCTAAACTGTCCTTTCCTATGCAATTGAATGGTAATCTCTCTTAGTCTTGAGATACATTCCTGCTGCTGTTCTTGAAATCTTCTAGCACTGCGTTCACTCCAGACATGATAAACAGTAGCAGCTAATAGCCATCCTAGTACCTCTGCATGAGCTTTGCTGTTGCATTGTTTGGTCNATACTTGGTACAGAACATGGGATCATGTTGAGGTTTTTCCATATAGCTCTAGGATATTGAGGAAGTAAGTATTTATATGCCTTCTTGATCATGAACTTCCCAGCATGAGTGAGTTGTTGTAATTCTGCACACAAATCATTGCTCCCATATCATTTCCTTGCATCAAAGATTTTCCTAACAAGCCAACATGCTTGCTTAGGTGTCTCCATAGTACTAATGCTTCTACCCTTAATATAGAAACCGTGGATCCATTGAACCCAGAGGGTATCTTTCTTCGCTGTGATAGCCCAGAGCAATTTTGATATGGCTGCTTCATATAGTTGATCACAGATTAAATAATAAAACTTGTAATTTTACCAAGAAACTTAGTCAAAGTTATATCTTAAAAATTTTAATGAGTCATTCACCAACTTCTAGTTTATCCTCTAAGCTAGCAGTGTCGATTTTTCTCAAATTAGAGTAGACGTAAATTAGTTCAATAATATGAAGTAAAGACAATCTAGGCATGCAAAATCTTTTATCAAAGAGTAGACAGTAATCGTTAATCCTGGGAGAGTTTTACTTTTTTTCCTTTTATTGTCCATCATTTAAGCCTCTAATTAGGAAAAAGAGTAGACTTAAATATTGCCTCTTTTAAGCTTATGTTTTAAAATAAGTAAGTAGGAACATGAGTTCATTTGACAAGAAATAAACTAGACTCACATAAGTAATGTTGGTTATGTGATTCACATAGTCAAATTTCTCGTCATACACCGAGCCTGAATTAAATTCCATTGAGAGATTTTTATTTTTTTCCTTCAAAAAAGTTAGTAGTCCTTTTCTGTGGTTCTAAAAAGTTATTTACTCCGGAGAATCCATAATAGTGTAATTAGTTGGTTATTTGAACTTTTAATTTATTCATAATAATAAAAATAGTTTTAAAAAATTACTACTTTTTATTTTGATGGAGTAGATTTGATAAGGATTTGCTCCAGTATTGAAAATATTTGCCACCTCGCTCTTTCTATTTTTAAATTGATATGCAAGTTCGAGCTTTGTAAATAATAGTGTTTGTAATTTGATATATTTTTTAACTGAAATTGATTTGGTATAAGTTAATTATCAAGTTGAACCAACAGTTTTGGTTTTTTTAATAATTATTTAATTTAAAGTATTTTATGATTTAATAATATATTTAATTATTTGAAAAATTGTGTTATTTAGAGGAAAAATTGGGAAGGTCCAATTAATCTCAGAACACTCGGCATGGAGTGCTCCTCTCTAAAGAGTTGTTTGACCAAGTTTCTTCAAGGCTAAAAGTATTTTTTTTAAAGTATTTTTTTTTTTCAAAGTTGAAGTGTTTGGCCAAGTTTTCAGAAGAAAAAAAAAAGTGTTTTTAAGTTCAAGTAGAAGCAGAAAAAAATAGCTTTTCTCCGGAAGCACTTTTTTGAAAAGCACTTTTGAGAAAATACACTTACAATCACTTTTTTATAGCTTGGCCAACACTATGCTCATACGTGTTTTTAAAATAAATTAGTCAAACACAAACTGCTTCTCACCAAAGTACTTTTAAGCAAAGCGCTTTTAAGAAAAAGTACTTCTCAAAATAAGCTGATTTTAGAAGTTTGGCCAAACAACCTATAAATGTACATAACAAATTTGAATTAGGATGGCTATCTGACGGCTAAAAAAGGAAGATTTTTGAAAAATATTACTCCTTCCGTTTTAATTTAGATAATACACTTTTTTTATTCGATCGCTCAAAAAAGAATGACACATTTCTACAATTAAAAATAATTCAACTTTAACCTCTTCATTTTATCTATTTTACCCTTAATGAGAAGCTTTTATAATCGTACAAATATCACGGTCTCACAAAACTATCACCCCTTAGACTTTTTGGACCACATATTTTAAAATCTTTTTTTTTTTTTTAACTTTGTGCCAAATCAAATTAACTCATCTATATTAAAACTGAGGAAATATAATATTTGATCTTTAAGTTCCAAACAAATAGTGAGTCGCCGACCGTGATAAGTTGGGGCCACGTTGAAGGGAGAATCACAAAAAGAAAGCCTTCTCCCTTGGTCTTCTTTCTCATATTCTTTTCGCTTTTTACCTTCTTCTTTGTTTTTTAATTAAATAAAAGGAGAAAGAGAAAATTCCACGTGAAAAAGAAAAAAAGAAAAAAAAGAGTCATGGTAAAAGAGAAGTAAAGAGGAGAGAGTAAAAGCCAAATCGGCTATATTTGTATTTCCTTAATGCTAAACCATTGCGTCCTTGGTATAGGTTTTTATTTTATTTTATTTTATTTTATGATTTGCATCCTATTTTATTATTTTAAATTATTTGCTTCCTATTTTCTTATTATTTTTTGCAAAACAATAAAAGCAACAGTAGAAACTAAATACTCCTACTAGAGGAATTGGATCATTCATTTTTGCGTTGTTGTTGTCGTCGTTGTTGTTATTGTTGTTGTTTTTGCTTTGTGATTAGTAAAAAAAAGGTTAATGGTGACTAAAACAAAATTTCGTTCCTAAAAAAAATCATATTGAGTAATTTGATTCGTGCTTTATAGTTGATATATTTGAATTTTAATAACACTACTATGGGATAAAGACAAAAAAATAATTATAAATTTCAAATTTAAAGAAAAAGATAGTAAAACGCTAGAACGACAGAATCTAATTCTGGAAGTTAATAACTTGATCTCAAAATAAAAATTTTGTTGCTTCAATTTATTTGCGGTGTTGAGTTGCAGATGCAGCAGAAGATCGAGCTCGAGCTAGAGCTCTAATGGCGGAAGGTCTGGAAGCTTCATATAAGGAGAGAGAAGCTGGGAGAAAAATATTTTGTATTAAAATGAATGATGTATCAAAAATGTACTGTACAAGCTAATGTATATACACTTGTGTATCCTCTACAACTGATAACTAATCAACCAATTAGGCTACAGCTAAGTAACAGCTAAGCTAAGTTGTAACCAACTAAAACTAACTACTATACATAAATACATAGCTCAACACCCCCCTCAAGTTGGAGGTGAGGACTTCACAGACAACTTGCCCAAAACATTAGAATGCTTAATTCCAGTGAGAGCTTTGGTGAATATATCAGCCAGTTGATCAGCAGTGCCAATGTGATGCAAGGACACCAAGCCCTCTTGTAGCTTGTCTCGAACAAAATGACAATCAACTTCAATGTGCTTTGTCCTTTCATGGAAAACAGGGTTCTTGGCAATGTGTAAGGCAGACTGACTATCACAAAAGACAGTGACAGGTTTAGGAAAGGGAACAATCAGTTCATCTAGCAATCTGCACAGCCAAGTTAGTTCATCCACCACCTTTCTAAGAGATCTATATTCCGCTTCAGCTGAGGAGAGGGAAATAGTTTCCTGTTTCTTGGATTTCCAGCTAATTGGACTATCACCCAGCAGTACAAGATAACCACTAACTGATCTCCTAGAGTCAGGGCAGGCTGCCCAATCAGAGTCACAATACCCCCTAATTGTGCAGTCAGGATCATTGGAAAGAAAAATCCCAAGTGTAGGATCATTTTTTAAGTATCTAAGAAGATGAAAAGCAGCATGTAAGTGTGGCTCCCTTGGATCTTGCATAAATTGGCTCAAATGTTGTACACCATAGGCAATATCTAGCCTTGTATTAGTAAAGAAATTCAGATGTCCAACCAACTTTCTGTAGGGTGTAGGATCAGTGAGAGCTGGGCCTTCCTTTGCTTTGAGCTTGACACTTGGGTCTAGTGGTGAAGAGGGACTGTTACCATTGAGACAATTGTATTCCTTGAGCAGGTCTAGTGCAAATTTTCTCTGAGAGATGATTGCTCCAGCAGGTGTATACAGGACCTCCATGCCTAAGAAATAGTGTAGGATCCCTAGATCTTTGATCTTAAATTGATCATGCAAGAAGATCTTCAGCTGAGTGATTTCTTGTAAGTCTGTCCCAGTCACAATGACATCATCCACATATACAACAACAAAGATGGCAGAAGAAGCTGACTTTTTATAGAAGAGAGAATAATCATTCAGAGAATGGATATAACCCTTGGAATATAAGGCCTCAGCTAGTTTTGCATACCACTGTCTACTAGCTTGCTTGAGCCCATAAAGGGATTTATTCAGCTTACAGACACGGCCAGGAGTATCAACCACTAGCCCAGGTGGTAGTTCCATATAAACTTCCTCATGTAGATCACCATGGAGGAAAGCATTGTTTACATCTAGTTGAAAGATATTCCAGTGCTTCTTCATTGCTGTAGCTATTAGAGCCCTGACTGTGGTCATTTTTATAACTGGTGAAAAGGTTTCTGTGTAATCAACACCTGCTTGTTGAGTGTACCCCTTTACAACCAGCCTTGCTTTGAATCGTTCAATGCTCCCATCAGCCTTGTGCTTGACCTTATACACCCATCTACAACCAATGGCCTTTTTTCCTTAGGGCAGGGGAACTAAATCCCAGGTATTATTAGCATGTAGGGCCTCAAATTCAAGGGTCATGGCTGCCTGCCAGGCTGGATTTAAGGCTGCCTCTTCATATGAAGATGGCTCATTATCATGACTAACATTTTGCACAAGTAGTTGACTATCATGGATCAAAGAGTTAAGAGAGACATGATGATTACATGTAAACAAGGCATCAAGAGAAAAGGGTGCAGTGTTAGTGTCAGCAGTATGAGTAGGAGGTTTTAAGTTTGGAATAGAACAAATATAGTCTTTTAAATGGGTAGGTAAATTATGTTGTCTAGTTGATTTCCTAGTGCCTAAATCAGGTATTACAGGAGGTTGATGAGAAATAGTTGAAGATTGAGGTGAAGGATGAGTAGACTGATTGGAAGTTGGAGGACTACTATGTGACAAAGTATCAGGAGTAGCACTTGCAGGCCTTTGACCATCATGCAAAACATCATGAGTGTGTGATTTAAAACTAGGCAAATCATCAATGAAAGGGACAGAATTAGGAACAGAAGAAAACTTAGAATCATTAGGCAAGGTGTTAAAGGGAAATACATTCTCATGAAAAATTACATTTCTGGAAATGTGGATTTTCTTGGTAGTTAGGCTGAGAACCTTGTAACCTTTTGTTTCATAGGGGTATCCTACAAATACATGAGGGGTTGTTCTTGGCTTAAATTTATCCCTGTGAGGTTGAGGAGTAGTAGGGAAACATAAACATCCAAAACTCCTAAAGTGTGAGTGTGGGCTTTTTGTGAAACAACATCTCATAAGGGCATTTATTTTTGAGATAAGTTGTGGGAAGTCTATTGATGATATAGGTGACAGTTAGAAGACATTCACCCCAGTATTGTAAAGGTAGTTTGGATTGAAATAAGAGGGCTCTAGCAGTATCAAGAAGATATTTATGCTTCCTTTCTACCACACCATTTTGTTGGGGTGTGTAGGGGCATGTTTTCTGATGTATTATACCCTTGGGTTGGAAAAATTGAACTGATTCATTACTAGTAAACTCTAGGCCATTATCTGACCTTAAACATTTTAATTTGGTTTGAAATTGAGTTTCAATGAGAGACACAAAGGCTTTTATAGTTTGTAAGCCATTGCTTTTACAGCTTAGGAGATGAGTCCAAGTAGACCTGCTATAATCATCTACTAGGGTGAGGAAGTATTTAAAATTATTGTGAGTTGCCACATGATAGGGTCCCCATAAGTCCACATGGAGAAGGTCAAAGGCTTTGGTGGTGATACTGGTTCTTTGGGGGAAAGGCAGTTTAGTCTGCCTTGCCATGGGACATATGGGACAGAGGAATGGTTGTTTGGGTGAAAACTGGATTGGTATTGAAGAGATACCTCTCATTTTAACAAAAGGTACATGTCCCAGCCTATTGTGCCACAACAAATCTGCATCAATGTTATTAGACATGGAAGAATGCAAAACTGAACTCTGAGTTTTATTGCATGTGGGCATATTTACAAATGAGTGATAAGGAGAATATGACCTATTTACATTATGTGAAGTAGGTAAAGCATGAAATGGAAATGAGTAGTTGGCAGTAGATGTAGCAGAACAAGAATGCTTCAAGCAGCTTGAGCAAAGCAGGTATAATCCATCCTCGACCTTACCAATCTCCAGAGGCCTCTTCATCGAAGGGGCCTGTAGAAGACATAAAGAATCAGAGAAGGCCACTAGACTTTTAAGTTGGGAAGTTAGGCAGTGAATAGAGATCAAATTATATTTGAAAGAAGGAACATAAAAGACTTTATGCAAGATGATCTGAGGTGCAAGTGTGACAGTCCCAATTTCAGTCACCTTTACTCGATAACCATTTGGTAGGTTAATTAACAAGGGATATGGTAAAACTATAGTATCAGACAAGAGGGATTTATTGAAGGTCATGTGATTGGAAGCTCCTGAGTCTAGGATCCATATATCAGTACTTGATGTAAAACATTTGCATGATAATAAGCTAAAATCAATGGAGAGAACAGAAGCAGAGCAAGCCACTGTACCTGCAAAATTCACAGCTCCATTAGGAATGCTGGAGGTCTCTTTGCTACTTCCAGAATGAAAGTGCTGTAGTAGGGAAACCAGTTGCCTATATTGCTCTTTGGTTAAGTTGATATTGGAGTTACAGTTGCCTTCCAGAGATTCCACTTCTTCCTGTTTGTCAGAGTTGATTTCAGATGCACCATGCACATTGGCGACAGTTCTCTTTCCCCTGTTAAATTTGGGATTTGAGTTGAATCCCTAGGGGTATCCATGCAGCTTATAAAACTTTTCTTTGGTGTGACCTGGGCGCTTACAATAATCAAAAAAGGGACGTGGTCTGGTGACATTAGGAGGGTAATTGCTGGGAGAATAATTGGTTCTAATCCTTGATGTGTCAACATCGAACGAGGTAGGATCTGCGTATTGTTGGCCATTTCTGATATTATTCCTTGGAACACTGACATTTAAAGACGAAGAATCCATCATAACATGGTTGTTTGGCTTAACTTCCCTCTGCTTCTCTTCTTGAACTAGTAAGGAAAAAGCTTGTGCCATAGAAGGCAAGGGGTTCAGCATGAGAATGCTGCCTCGCACAGTTGTGTATACTTCATTCAGGCCCATCAAAAACTGAATCAGACGTCTGTCTTGTTCAACTTTATGCATACTTTCTTTAGCACCACATGTGCATTGACAGGTGTACTGTGTCTTGGCATTCAGTGTACTCAGTTCCTCCCACAACTTCTTCATTTTAGTGTAATAACCTGTGATGTCCAAAACTCCTTGAGAAAGATCATTAATTTCCTTCTGAATCTGATATAGTTTGGTTCCGTTGGTCAAATCGTAGCGATCCTCCAACTCTTTCCACAACTCGACGGCATCATTTGCATATTCAACACTGTCAGCAATCTCCTTGGCAAGAGAATTTAGGATCCATGATGTAACCATATCATCGCATCGTTCCCATAGTCGAAATTTCGAAGGCTCTTTCTCTGGATCTGATCGTTTGCATTCGCCATTGATGAAACCTAATTTGTTTTTGATAGATAGGGCTCGCATAACACTCCTTCTCCAGGATCTGTATCCTAAACCACCGAAGGGAACTGGAACTAACATCGCACCGGGATTATCTGAAGGATGCATGTAGAGAGGGCTACTAGCATCGACACCGGACTCTACCACGAGAACAGATGGGGAACCATTCAGTACTCGAATCAGTGATAGCCATGGGATAAGACTCGATTTGATGAAGATAGAATCAGAAAATTGAAGAGAGAAATGACAGATCGGACAATTGAAGATAAAAGATCTTCTAGGGCAAGACTCAAAAAAAAAATGGAAAATTGGGGAAAAGGTTCAATTGATCTTACTGAAGATGATGAGGAGACAGGAGATAGAGATGCTAGGCTCTGATACCATGTTGAGCTGCAGACGCAGCAGAAGATCGAGCTCGAGCTAGAGCTCTAATAGCGGAAGGTCTGGAAGCTTCATAGAAAGAGAGAGAAGCTGGGAGAAAAATATTTTGTATTAAAATGAATGATGTATCAAAAATGTACTGTACAAGCTAATGTATATACACTTGTGTATCCTCTACAACTAATAACTAATCAACCAATTAGGCTACAGCTAAGTGACAGCTAAGCTAAGTAGTAACCAACTAAAACTAACTACTATACATAGCTCAACAGGTAGTGCTTGAGAACTTGAGAAAGAATGACAAAAAAGGCAATTGTATTTTATTCAATCCATTTAATTCCTTATTTTTTTAGAACAGACAGTTTAATAAGAGAAACAAAAGAGAATAGAAAATACAAATTTTATTACGATAAGAAAAAACGTATAAATATAAGAAATTTACACAAATATACAACCATCATAACATATACACCCGCATAGCTATATTTTTCAATTTACATCTGCATAGGCAATATATTTTTGCAGTAATATTTATACACTCTTATACATTATTATAAGAGTGCATACATTTTCCTCAGATACTATGTTCATTCTTTCTCTTGCTATGTGTAGTATATAAATATCAAGAAGAGAGATCTTATCCAGACTAGCAAGGGTTCGGGATATCAAAGAATGCTACAACATCTGAATAATGATCGTAAGGTTGGCTATTGGGTAAAAGAATAATATAAAAATGAATAATATATGCTCAATCGGATAGAAATCTGGGAAAATGCGTCCAAAAGAATCGATCAACTTTGGTCGGTAATGGCCAATAACCGTCCAAAACGCGACCATTTACGTGTGGACGGTATTTTGAAGGTCGGAAGGGCATACCGACCAACCTTGGTCGGTATGTTCTACACGACCATCTGACAATGTAATAGCATTACCGACCAAAATTGGCCGGAATATTATTTTATTAATTTAATTTTACCGACCAAGCTTGGTCGGTGTACTAAATATATTAATTTTTCATACCGACTATAGTTGGTCGGTATTGGATTTTTTTATAAATTATTAAAATTTAAAAAAACCGACTTATGGGTTTACAATGCCTTAGCTTTGTTTTTATGATCTAACAAACTTACTGTCAAAGAGCCAGATAAGAAACCTGACTCATTTGGTACTCAACTCAAATCAACGGATTCCAGCTAATGAGAACTGCTACGATTTCAGAAGATAAAGAATCAACACAGGGACCTGATACCCTTGTGTTTCCTTGACAGCAGTACGAAGTCAACTGTCTACAGCTGGAAAGTGACTGCCTGCACTGTACACAGAAACAATGCAGCGCAGGTTCTGCAGTCACTTCTCATTTGACCTACCAAGTGATGTCATCTATGTTGTATTAACAAGTGCACTACAACAAAATATTACTTGAACA